TGCCTACACAGGGATGCTAGCTATTATGTCTTGAAAGCATCTGAGAACTCCAGCTTGTCCAATATATCGACTTTCTCGTCAGTTATTGCTTAGGCAGCTTTATCCTTGTTCCTTCAGCCTGCTCTCTTGAGCTAAACACTTTCTAAACAATTCAAACTCTTTATTGCTGCCTACACAGGGATGCTAGCTGTTATGTCTTGAAAGCATCAGAGAACTCCAGCTTGTCCAATATGCTCCGGGTATAAACAAAGGAACCTTTTCAGTGACAAAGATAGGAGTGTCAGATTTGAATGTAAGGTCTTTTGCATAGTGTGCTTTTGGAGCCAGTAGGTGATCTAACTGGCCCTCCAATAATAAGCAAAAATCATGCCAGGGTGTAATGGACGATGACCACCTAAAGTCGTTCAGAAATATACACTTAGCTTTCTCTGTGCGTACCCACGCAAAATTGCCAGAGGCATGGTTAGTGAAGGTATAAAAAAATCACATTTAAAGGATTCAAAAGAAATGTTTTGGCGCAGTTTGTAGGACCAGTTAACATTATATTGCAGACAGACAGACTACAAAGCCGGACACTGAAATATTGTTGCGAGTTAAAACCTCTTTAGCACACGTTACCCACCACCCATGACAATCAGACACGCATTCCTGATCTAGAGAGTCGTAAAGCAACTGTAACCGGGACTTGGTTTGCCTTTGCCGAGTTTCTTGGGAATTTTCCATGTCCCATGCAGTTTGCAAAACTTGCACAACGACTTTGGACCCCCATTCAAAACAAATTCAGCTACGTCTGTTTTCCTTCAAGGTTCCCTGCCCTGACTTCAGGTTGAATGTGTTTTATTTGCAAACGATGCCCTTGTAGTCTGATGGGGCCCATTACTGAGATCTGCGTGTCCCAGACTTTGCACAAATTCCTTGTCTTGCTTGGTCACATGTTTCCAGGCGCTAAAATAATTTCTGTGAATGGCTGAACGTGAAGGATATGCCACAGCGTTCAAATAGAAACCTTTTGCTTGGTAGCCATTGGTGATTTCTGAATAGTTTTAGGGCCATGTGAAAATGACTTCCTCCGGAGTCGGGATGTTTTTCCATGCAGCAGGACCAGTGCATGATTTTGGTGGTGTATTGTGAAACAAATACAAAACGGCCCCTACAAATGAATGTCGAGTTAGAAAGCGCACAACGTCGGCTTGGCTATAAGTAATCAGATAAACTTTGCGCACACTTCGCACATTGATCTCTGCATTGCAATTGCCTGGGTTACACGTATTGTCCAAATCAGGTCCACCAGCATTGTCGGTACCCTGGGATGAGGATGAGTCAGATTCATAATCCCTTATGACATTCATGTCGTAATAACCAAGTAACACGGTACAAGCAAGAAACATGACTTGATGAGTCCTGAGGAAAACAACCTCCTCACATGTGACGTTCTCATAAAATTTCACTCTCCTCCCCTAAAGAAACTGGTTTTACTTCTTCCTGAAGACAAGTTGAGAGAAGCGGGATATATACCCTACCTGTTAAAAACCTCAGACTGTAATACTGAGTGGCTTTACCGATTTATCCTGCTATAATGGTGGGGGGGAGGGGTGTAGAGCCTTTTTCCACTCTGAGACAATCGGCGACAAATTTAGTTGAGACACTTGGGAAAAAAGGACATCTCATGAGCATGTTTTCGTTTGTTCTTATTACAAAGGGTGAAAAATACCGTTCAATGGTAATTGCTAGCCATAAGGTTTGTGGGCACTCAAAAACGACCCAAGAATGTCAAGGGGGAAGGGGTGGGGGGCGGTTACCTTTATTGGGGTCCTAAAAACACCTCTTGTTAGGAAAGTGTCTCAATAATTTTGTTTCCGATTGTGGGCATTTAGAAATTTTGGAAGGGTCATATGTGGCTTGGGCTTAATAATTCAGAAGGATGTGGGCATGCACACCACATTTTCATCGAGTTCAGTCAAGCCCTAAAGTGGTAACCTCCGTGAAAGGGGGAAATTCCTCATTTGTTAAATAAAAAGTGGCATCCTTACAAGGGCAGTGATCTTTGACATCAGGTAAATTTGAATACTTTGTATTGCTGTTGATTTGTAATAGAAATACAGTCATGTAACTTGAAAACTGTAATAAAGACGCAACAACAATACAGTTATAGGGTGGTTGACATTTTGATGTTGTTGTTAATGCAGGCATATCATGGCTATTCGACATTTCAGCAGTAACCTATTCCGTAATTTGGGGCAAAAGGAGGATGGTATTGAGCTGGTGACTGTGGTATACCCTAAGTTCAAGAATGGTGAGGCCTCAGTAAGGAGTGTCAGGGTTGAACAGAACTTTGGTATGTAATGCTTTTTGTGACAGTTAAATCAACATACCCTTTCATAGAATTTATGAGCCACCCCCAGGTAGCTGGGGTCTTCCAGAAGAAGTTTGTTTGCCTAAAAGACCAATTTCAATATACTGAAATTCATACCTGGGTGTGAGGCCTGGGTAATACAACAAAAGAAATGAACAATGAATAATACATTTCTTTCGCTCTATTTACCCAAGCCTTGTCACCAAGTATGGATACTAGTATATGTGACCCTCCATGGGATTCAGGGAATAAGGTGAATGCACGGGCATACCAAAATGACACACTAAACAACAGGGAGTGTGCGAGTGGTGTGCCATCAGGCAGCTCAGTTACAATGTTCCTTTTGTTTCCATTGCACGGGAAACACAAAGCATCGTGTCCTATGAAACAATGCAGTGTTGGACTGAGCCAAATGACACGCTAATGAGCAAAATGGCAGGTTAAACACCAGCCTTGTCTAATTTTTGCATTTACCTTGTTATGGGTCCGTTTTGTCTGTAAAAGTGCCCGACAGACGTTCCTTCTTAATCTGCTGCAACTCGCTGAAAAAAGAACCAAAATTTCGATTGTTAACTTTTTCATTAAGTCAGTTTTGCATTCTGAGTTTTGAGAAACCAGTATTTTGGAATATTCAGCACTTAAAGGATTTCAAGAAAACTATTTGGTTCTTGAGAAAAATAACACGACGCTTTGTACATAATGCAATTTGCATTTTAGTTTTAAGTCTACCTTTTGAACTATAAGAAAATGTTTCAATTTTTGGTGCATCGCATCGGTAACGCGTGAAGTATGTCTTTACATGCATCGTGTGTGAAGGCATAAAAAAATTGAAACTGATCTAAAATCAATGCGACAACTTTTTTTCATGGGCATCAAAAACTGTTTTTTCAAGCCTTTCAAAAATTACCACAAAACGTACAATAAATAATAGGAAGGCATAGTTAATGTCCGACTCAACCATCCATAGCAAGATAGAAAACGCTGAACTTTGATTGTTGTAGATGCAAGAAATATTTGCATATGTCACGTGTAATTTGAAACCTCTTGCTTTATGCATTTATCAACTTTACAAACATACAACAGCAAACTAACAGTTCTAGAAGTATATTGCGTGGAAAAAAGACATGATTTTGATAAGGAAAGTTTTTCTAGGACTCTAAATTCATTCAGATCTGACCACTGCCTTCCTAAAGCGACATAATTTTCTACCACATGATTATATTCTCATCATTCTTGTTGTCTAAGGCCTGATGCATGTAAACCAAACACTAGAGTGTAATAATTTTGTGCTGCTGCTCACGAGATTTTACATTTGGCTTTGCGGAAGCAAAGGAACTATCCCAAAAACAACAAAATGAAAAAGTAGAACCTTTCCTATTTAGTGACTTTTTTTTATTTTTCTATACATATTTTCTTCTTGAATCAAAATTAGCTATTTTTAGAGTTCAACCATTTAAAAGTATTACCAGAGGTTGATGATCTACATGTTCAAAAACATGAATAGCATATTTGATACAGGTCCAACAATTAGGTTACTCAAAATTGACTTTGGTTTTGTAAGTCGAGTAAGCATTGAGGTTTGAAAATCAAAGAATTAATTATGAATTAAAAATGAATAAAAAACCTACGTGAATGATAACAAAAGAATAGGGACCTTAAGCACCAAAAACGTAGAATGTCGCGGACGTGAACCGGAAATGACAGTCGCGCACACGCCAATGGTTGCCATGGGATACTACGCAGTTACGCGAAAAGCCCTTCGTCGCCGACTCAGATCGGGATAATTGTACGTTTTTGGAAAACATAAGAAAAAAATAACTCGTAAATCACCACAAAAAGTTCAGTTTCAAGGTAAGACATGAAAATCATCTTGTTTTATAATCCGTTATTACAATGTTGCATATTTTATCGCGTGAAGTTGAAAAACTGAAGTCTTACGTAACCCGTGTTTTTGTACAAACAACCGGTTGCAGAGTCAGCAAAGTGAAGAAAGCCATGGCGAGTTGTTCGGAAGAAAACAAGAGTCAAAGGTAATAAAAATACAATCTGCTCTCGCAAAATGTAATACTCCTCGAGATTTCGTATCGTATTATTGACCTTTTTGTGATTATTGTTATAATAAGCAAAGTTATGTTTTCATTTTTGTATTGCACTTTTGGGTCATCCTCGGTGTAAAAACCTGTGAAGTTTTTCTTTGTTTTCTAGTTATTTTTTCCTTGGTTCCATTGTGTTGACTTCTCGCTGGCTTCTTTGTATTATTGTTTTACGTTACTCGTGAGGTTCACAGGTTTTGATACCGAGTATGAGAAGCACTTTTAGTGACCACTAGGTTTGCTTGATTTTCATTGTCACTCGACTGTAGAATACCTCAGATACAGAAATCAACGCAACCATATGTGTACAAGCTGAAATTTCCGAAGCGAACTGGCAGCATAGATTAGGCAGCATCGCCGAAACGTGATCGGTTTAAGATCTCATAACAATGCCGATTTTATAATTTTCAAATGAACGCCAGCTTACATTATATTGATAAACTCATAAGATCATGTAATATATAGAACGCAATATAATTATAGTATACACAGCCGAAGAATATATCAAAACTTGATTTTCTTTTTATTTTTATCCAACTTTAAGCTCTTCTAAGATGGAATGGTCAAAGGCCAAGGATGTTTTGCTGGCTAAAGAAGTCCTTTACCTTGAACCATTTCGGTTCAAGGAAAGGACTGCTCAAAGTGTTCTGGCATGGCAGGATCTCGTCAACAACCTCATGAAAAATTACCCAGGGAAATTCGAGAAGCTAACCTCAGGGGGTGCTAAGGACCATATAGCGCTCCTGATTAAAAACCACAAGAAGAAGAATGCAGATGAGCTGAAGGCGAGTGGGATTAGCCCAGAACAATCAGAGCTGGATACTATACTTGAACAAATAATAGAGAGGATGGAAGCAAATGTTGCAGAGATTGAGAAAGACAACGAAAAGAAGAAAAGGGAGGTGGCTATGGCCAAAGACATCAGGCTGAAGGCCATGGAGGCCCTAAGCCAAACCAAAAAGAGAGAAAATGAGGATGGGAATATTAAGCCTGCAAAGCAGATCAGGAGGAGGTCAAATGGATAAGAGATGGTTGCATACCTGAAGGAGAGGGCAGAGGAGGAAATGGCCCTGCGTGCAAAGGTAGAAGAATCAAAACAGGCCCAGATGGCTAATGAAGCAAAGAGGCATGAAGACCTCTATAACATTCTGTTACAGCAACAAAAACAGCAACAAGAGTTCCAACAACAACAAGTACAGCTAAACCAAGAAGCCATGAAGCAACAACAACAACAACAGTTTCTTCAGATTCAACAGTCTATGGCCAATCAACAACAACAAAATTTTCAAATGTTGATGGCCATCCTGCAAAAAAAAAATTAAACAGCAGCACAATAATTTTTAAAAACAAGTTGAATTTATTACAATTTTTTTACACATTTACTACATTAATTTATTTTAAGATAATGTGTTGAAATTGAGAGATCTCATATGACAAGGACACTTGATTGTACAATTGAAAGAGGTGTGTACATACATGTTGATTGCTTTATAATTTCTTATAAATATAGGCATGGAAATACAAATGAAAAAAAAACGTGGCACAGTTATATTATGAACATTTAAAACCTTGTTTAGACACGAGTTATATATTAATATTGTCCAAGAGATGGATTGGATTTCAAAATAATGCTTTTTAATAATAAAGATCAGCTGGTTTTAAAAAGTGTATTGCAAGAAATAAACAGAAATACTTAGTGGGCCTAACCATTTTCGTAATAGATAGATAGTTGGATATAGCAAAGGTATATTGTATCCTTCATGAGAACAACCAGTTCAGTTTGACTAATGCATTGAACATAGCCAGAACATCCTTAATCATTTTCCCCCAGCAATGCTCTACAAAATGACCTAAGGCCCATAGTTGTTCAAAGGAGGAGTAAGCACTAACCTGGGGTTAAATTTTAATATCCCTGTTTCTTTTTCATTAATGTTTAAAAGCATTTTTTCTTGGACAAGTGATCGATTCTCTTCTCTAATCTTTTTAGATCATCCAAACATCAAATGGAGACAAAAATAGACTGAATGTGCTTAAGCTTTTATATGCGCTTTAATTAAGCCCTATGGTTATATTAACCCTGCAGCTTTGAACAACCCTGCTCACAGCAAAAACAACAAATGAAAGATGCTTGGATTTGGAAAATTAAGAACATTAAAATATTGCAATATATAACACCGGTATTGCATTTTTTATTATACAGCTACAGCAGGGAGACTTACACAGAGCCTATACCAGGTTTTCAAAGTTAGATGTAATATGCTCCTGTAAAGACACTTTTCTTTTCTTTTTGGGAGTTTTTGAGATCACATTAATGGCAACAACATTATGTCAAAGAAACAATAAGATTAAACTGGTTCAGTGACTAAGCCCTTTTTAACAGACTTAAAAATAGGGGATTATTATGTAAAAAGTACTTATCATGAAGACAGGAAGTCAAGCATGGCAAACATAAGCGAAAAGGTATCTGAGATGTAGAATAACTACATTTTTATCTTTTTGTGGTTCGAGATTGCAGAACACTAATTTTTGTTAAAGGTTCACGTGGCGAAAGAAAAATGTTTTTGAAAGTCTGAGTTGTTTCTCAATTGTTAACTCGCAATTTGCTAGTTTATTTTCAGCATCTAATAATTATTACAGAGAGCGTCAGATTCTGCAAAATTAAGGTACCTTTTCATAAAAAATCACAATTATTTTTACAATAGTATGTTTAATGAAAGCTAGCACATTATTAAAACAACTCTTGAAAAAAATAATTGCATTTTAAACAAAATGATTTTTTTTCCAATTTCTTTGGCACACAATAAGCCCATCCACTAATCATGAAATTAATAATTGACAGGATCATATGTGACGTCTGCATCAGACAATGAATACAGGAACTGAAAATGAGATTATATACATGTACATGTTTATATCCTTTCTAGGCATTGCCAGAGTTGTTGCATAAACTGCAAAAAATGCATCTTATGGTTACTTTAAGTCAACTCAATAACTCAACTGTTTCATACTTAGGAGAAGTACTCCTCTAGAGATGGTGGTTCCACTCCAAAGTATGCCCCTGTATTGTTGCCATAAAGACATGTCAGGGCATTCCTAAGCAGAGCACTCACTATGTAATGTTTGCCAACTGGACTCAGACCAATTTTGAGATTTTTTTTGAAATCCAAAAAGTTAAATGATCCAATAACATCACCAAACACCCACTCAACTGAGGAACGGACTGAGCTCATGGCACTGTTGAAGTCCTCCATAGCATGAGTCAGTCGTTGTTCTTTGAAGGGTCCTTGCAGGTGGATGCGATGGGGATAAGCGGGGTCCCCATAGAGACACATGGCCTCACCAGTGGCACTAAATGCATGAGCGTTAAGGTCATCCAGGAGATGAGAATCTTTCAGCATTGCTGCTTCATGCTTTCTTCCCTCTAAATAACAGAAAATAATATTATCACTGTTTAATAAAGTTTTAGTTGGAGACACCACATGAAGAATAAAAATATTCTCCACATAATTTATGTTAATTTTTTAACCAAAGTATTCTCGAGATGATCACTTCATAAGTCATTTCTAAGAATACCCTTTTTGGTGGGGTGAGGATGGGGGAAGGTACGGAAGCCCATGTAGAGGGGTCACCGACCTATTTCGTTTTAATTTTCACTTTTCCATTGCTTTCATGAAATTTAAACTGACTTACCAATAGGTCCAAAAAGATGCGCAATTAGCCCATCCAGCAGCGTATTGGACTGATACTTTAGGGCATGGAGCCTCTTGTGCCCATTGTACACTATTTTTTGGTTTTCACCAGGTCTTGATATTGGTCTTACAGTGCCATCGATGAATCCGAAGCAGTTTTTCAATGGAGAACCTTTCACTGCCACTGCATCAGCATACTGCTGAAGTTTCCGTGGGCTTAGAAGAGCAGCATTCCCCTGTGTTAATCCGTGGTGGTGGTTTTGGTAAATGAATTCTTATCATTCATCTGGATCTTTGAAATCGCAGTCTTCGGCAAGGCTGTGTAGATCTGTGATGAACTTCTCCGCTGTTTTGGACCATCCCTGAACATGGCTGTGAAATTTAGATCTGGCGTAGACAGGATTTGCTCTGATGACTTATGTGAGCTTCGAAGAGATCTTAACATGTTTGCAACTTTCTCTTGTTCTCGTCGGTGATGTCGGTCCACATATTGCAGATATCTCGTCCCTTTTGTCCGACCCAGATAAGCCGGCAGCTGCATTTCTCGGCTTCTTGGCGTGATTTGAGCAGGCCGGAGAACATGAGCTCCACATGCTGTTTGAAGCAATGCCAATTTTCTTTAAGACTGTCACCGTCCCAGTGCATTTGGGGGCATTCGATGCTGCTTAGAGCAATTGTTTTGTTGTTTTTGCTTTTACTTCTGACACCATGCAAAGATTCTGAGTCGTATCACAAACTGTGTACTTTCACTTTATTCATGCAGCAATATTGCCGAATGGAAAACTAACGTGAGCTTCGCAAGGCATCATGGCCAAAACACTGGAAATACAAATACCGGAAGTGTCAACAGCTGAAGCTTCTATGGGGTCATTACATTAGGCAGGTCCACATCAGCTTTAATTAGTTGCCTGTATTCTGAATTGTGCAGTATGAAAAGTTCTCATCCACCTGTGCGTGGCTCCTCTGCTCTTTCAACCATATCCACTTTCTTGTGATCTTTAATAATCTCTTTGTATTTGCTCATCAGCTTCCAGCATTCGAGCTATTTGTTTAGACTACAGAGACGGTGCAGACTTCCCTCTTTGTTGTTTGGTAACACAGGATGGTGTCCTCGCCAGGGCAGACCAGTTTCGTACCAACCCTAATTATCTTGCACAAACTGCCCTTTAAATTCAGGGTACATGCTACTTTGGTTGTTTGCAGATGTGTCAGACAACCCAAGTGGTTTACGGTCAAGTCGCCCAAATGTCATCTCGCCAAAAGTCTTGTCGCCTGAAATTCTGAGTTGTTCTGCCCAAAATTTCATAATGCTAAAAAAGATCCAACAAATCCAAAGTGAAAGATTCATCCAAAATTTGGGCTATGGTTTGATATCATGGAGACTGTTTGGCTTGGCTTCACGAATGAAGATGAGCAGGGTTGTTGTCCACGCCGACTGCAGGCCCTTTCGTGGCTGAGCAGGCCAATGCAGGACAGGCAGGTCCTCTTGCAGTGTTGGCACATGTAGGTCAGGTCTGGGTTTTCGGTGGTGGAAGTATCCACCTGAGCTTTCATCGTCTGTCGTTTTTCTTTGAGGGAGTCTCTCCGGTTCTCTTCAAACTGTGAAGCAGCCTTGTGGAGTGTGTGGTGCCGGGCGTCTCTATCAGCAGCCATGTCAGACCACTGGTGGCAGTCTATGTGCTACATTGAGACTTTTTGAGGCAGTCTTTGTAGTGTTTCTTAGGTGCCCCTCTGTCACGATGGCTAGTGGAGAGTTCGCCACACAAGATCACCTAAGGCAGACGGTGGTCCTCTATTCTGGATACGTGACCAGCCCATCGGAGCTTGTACTTCAGTAGCATGGCTTCAGTGCTGGGGACTTCAGCCTGTTCAAAGACCTTGACGTTTGTGATGAATTCGCTCCAGTTTATGTGTAGCGGCCAACACTAGCGAAGCAATTTATGACAACGATCTTGAGCATGCAAGTGAGGACAAACTATAAAGCGAGGAAATATTTTACAGACGGAAGTCTTGAATCGTTTACTCAACGCGATCATAGGATCCAAGTCCTTATTGTAAACTGAAACATTAAATACAAAACAAGGCGAAGTTAATTTCTAACATACAAACTACATTCCAATCATTCCATCGGAAAGTTGAAAGTTACACTAAGTCTAAGCCGAAGAAGGTAAACGAATGAAGACTTAGGAAATAATAGAAAACGAACTAACAAGTACAAAATTCGAGATTATAAAGATACATCTAATAACAAAGCAAAAACAGTTCGATGTACTGTAAAGATTTGTAGAACCATAGGGTAGAAATACAAACTAATAATGAAACTATATAAAAGCAAAAGAGACAAACTACTGACAAGATTCTGACAAACAAACTCTAAAACGTACTAATAACCAAGTGAAAGGTGTGTAACATTTTAAGTAACATCAACCAACCTATGCCACGTGGTAACATAGTTGAGGAAAACGTGATGAAAAAACTGCTGTAAGCTAAAGGAGTCTATCGAAAAGGTTAGGTATGCAAAAGAAACCTGAACACTTACATAACAGTTCCGCTTGGAAGAGCTTGACCAAACAACTTCAAAGATAAACTGGACAAACTGTACTAACGATGAACACGACTCATCGTTTGGCCAAACAAAGCCTACTAACATTAATGCGGTTTGAGCGGAACTTAAGTAATCACATCCCTAATGGACAAGGAATAAAGTCATCTTGCAGTTTAACGTAATACAATACAAATTAAATCAATAACGAATCAATATTCGGGAATAACCATTGGTAGCCGTTACATGGCTGCCCTGAAATGTACTCATTTCACAACATGTATACTCAAACAAAGTCTAATGCTAAAGCTAAAAGGTTCATTAAAATGGTAAAGACTAACTACTACTGATGGTACTTGTAATCGTGGCTCCTCGTCGGGGATGAACCTCAGGTCTCACTTGCTTCAAGTAACAGCACAAGCTTCTGAATGGGGCGTTCCAGGAATTTACAGGACTTGGTGCGTCATCCCTTGCTATCCAGCGTGCGATCAGCGACGGGAAGTTTGAGTGTACATACATGGCCATCAGCGTTCTGGTGGGCTTCGATCACTCGGGAGAGCTGCCATTGATTACGGGGAAGATCTTCATTGTTTTTAATAAGGACAACATCACCAACGCACCTGTTTCATCAGGGCTTACTCCATTTCTGTCTTTGCTGCAGATTAATCAGGTACTCTTTCTTGCATCTTATCCAGAATTCATTGGCCAAGTGCTGCACTCATGACCATCCACAGTTGTTACATAACAGCTCTTGTAGAATGGTTTTGCCTTCTAATAGAAGTGGAGCGACGAAACTGAGCGGATCGAAAATGGAGCTGACGGTGGATGATATTCCATGTTGAGTTCATGGTCTGCCCTTGAGGGAGATCATGAACTTGAATACATCTGACTCTTTACACCACTGAACTCCTAAAGGGTGTTCCATGGGCAAGGCTTCGCAACTAAAATCCAAATGCTTGATTCTTTCTGCTCTATCGGAGACTGAAATCTGCTCAATAACTTCCTTTCTGTTTGACGTGAACTTTTGTAGGTGAAAGCCACCTCGTTTGCACATTTCTTTGATTTCCTTAACCAGTTCAACGCCTTCTTCAATTGATGCCACAGATTTTAAACCATCGTCTATGTAAAAATTGCGGCATAAGAATTCAGCGGCTGCAGAACCAACAGCTGCTTCATTATCATCAGCTGTAGTCTTTAGGGCGAAGTTGGAGCAACCTGGCGATGATGCGGTTCCAAACAGGTGGACAGCCATTCTATGAACTTGGGGGTCCTTTGACATGTTGCCATTCTCCCAAAGAGGAAGCGCAGAAGGTCTCTCTGCTGTACCTGCACCTTGGTAAAACATCGCTTCTATATTGCACATGAGAGCGATCGGCTGTGTGGAATTTGCAAAGAATGCCGGTCAAATTATTTGTGAGGTCAGGTCCTTGTAAGAGGTGACTGTTCAGGGGTTCTTCTTGATGCTGTGCCGAGCAGCGGAATACCACTCTGATTGTATTCGGCTTCTTTGGGTGATAAACGCCGTGATGTGAGATATACCAGGTGGGCTTGCGTGATCTGTAGTTGTCACCTCATGCTCTGGTACCTTCTCTGCATTACCGCTGTCTATGACCTTGTGCATGAATTCCACGTAGTTTTTGCGCCACGTTTCACTGGAATCAAGACGTTTCTTGAGAGGCTTGAGTCTGTTCCAGGCCATTGCGCGGTTCGGTAACAACAAGTTTTTATTCCTTATAGGTAATGGCATCTCGTAATGACCATCTTGATGGCAAATACTGCACTTGACAATGTCTAGGAACTTTCGGTCTTACTGAGAAAATGCG